GAACATCGTGTATCCAGGCGCATAACAAAGCGGGCACGGCAGCCCTCGCACGAGCAAAACGCCAAAATCTGTAGCAAACCATACACCGAATCGAATCGTTCTGGCGAACCGTGTATTTTTGGACCTAAAGGCGGCTGAAACAGCATCAAAACAAAAACGCTTCGCCCCAACATCACTGCAGTGGAAAGGCTGCTTCCTTTTTCGAGACTCCTCCACTTCCCCATCGCTCTATAGCTCTTCGGGAGGGAAGGGTGTGTGGGGGGACCCGAGGTCACTGACCAGCGGGAAAGGCGACGGCATGGACCACCCGATTCTGTCCACCGAAAGCACGAGACCCCCGCAGGGCAACCAAATTTTCGACGCGACCACGCAGGGCGATAGCTACCATTACGCAAGGAATGAAGCTGGGCCCAAGAAAACACATAATCGGAAGCACGGGCGCGACGCGACCACACTTCTTTCGATCAGCGAACGATCGGGGGCACAGCTCTAAGCTGGGCGGGACCCCCTTCGAGCCTGCTCAACATGGCCAGGTTCCTCCCCCCCGAAGAGGTTTCTTCGTAGACGCACACAGCAAACGCAACCTGAGTAACTCACCGCCGCTGCAGCCGTGAACATCGCAAGTAAGTCAAACCTGGCAGGGGCCCAGCCACGCAAAGTTGGATAGCCCTGCGCCCTAGCAATATTCGCTGCGCAGCGAAGCGCCCAGTGCGCCGACGGGCCCGAGCAGCATAAAATTTGGCCACAACATTGCGACCTCGGACATGCAGGACTCCACCAGTTGCATCATCGATACCGAGGTTGAATGTGGGCTCGCGGTGCTGGCCAGCCAAACTCCCCAGCCTCCGCTCCGCAGGGCGAGAGAGATGGAGACTTAGAAGAAGAGACCAGCCCAAATTTGCCCAGAGCAATCGCAGCCTGCAACATTTCCCCCACGACAGTCTCGAGCTCCAACGCGAAATTACATCTGCAATGGCAACCTGAACCTCCTTCCCCACCCCGTTGATTCCCACATCATCGAAGTAGGCATCAAAGGCAAGAGAGGGAAACATAGATAAGGAGCCAATGCCGTCGAGGGCGAAAATGCGGACGCGCGTCGCGGCGAAGCCGCAGCCAGCAACGACGCCAACTCGAGCGCACTTCGGATAGTAAACCGCACCAGCCAGAACAAAAAAGCGCGCTGACCTATACCCAGCCAGACAGACAAGCGGCCGCGACAGGTGGCGAAGACCATGCCGACCACATCTCAAAACCGACGAATCGAGAAGAATCCTTCCGCAGTGCTTGACCAAATCCCAGAAAGCCAAGTGCGGGCCGACTTGACTGGGACCGAGATGGCTCCGACCCGGCCGCCTGCCCCCAGACGGCGCCACTGGCCGACTCGCGCCGCCCGGCGCGGCCCCTTGCGCGCCTCCCTCCCTCCCCCCCCTCCCCCCTCCTCCTCCTCCTCCTCCTCCTCCCCCTCCTCCTCCTCCTCCCCCTCCTCCTCCTCCTCCTCCTCCTCCTCCTCCTCCTCCTCCTCCTCCTCCTCCTCCTCCTCCTCCTCCTCCCCCTCCTCCTCCTCCTCCTCCTTCATCCCTCGTCGTCGGGCGTGGTCGGCGCTTCCCCCAGAGCCAATGAAACGCGCGGAACGACACCAGCCGGACGGAACCCCGAGATCGGCGTAGGAAGCACAGGCACCGGTCACAGCACGGAGCTGCGGGAGCAGCGCTCCAGCGGACTCCGCGAGCCCCGGGGGGCCCGAGGGGGCCTCCAGAGCCCCGTGCGATAGAACAAGGAATGCCCCGCATGGCGAACCCGCCCAGGCCCGCGACCGACCCGCGGGGAAACGCCTCGGAGGCCCGTCGGAGAACGCAGACAGGGATCGCGGGCACGGGGACCCAACACGGCACCAGGTGGCCTGGAAGGCGCGGCCGGGGCCTCCCAGAGGCCTCTAAACCATAAGGCCCCGCCCCGCAGGAGGGCCTGGGGACCCGATGCAATACGCCCCTTGGACCGATGGGTCGCGGGAGGCTGGAGAGCCTGCGGGCCCTTGAAGAAAGCGCGAGCACGGCGACCCCCATTCTCGATGTTCCCCAGCAGCCAGGAGCCCCAGTTCTCGCGCGCTTGACCACCGCTGCGCGCTACGCAGCTGGCCAGAGCTCCAGAACTGCGCCGCCAGGATTGCTGGCACGATCAGCGCGGACAGTACGCGAGAGAGAGCTGCCCAGCCAATCCTGCCCCAGCTTGGAAGCCACTGCCCAAGGACGACAAAACTCACGCATGAGGACATCCTGAACCCGAGAGACCGGGGGTTCACCGAACTCGCAGCGGCAGGTCGGGCCACCCGAGGACAGCCGCGGTCGCCCGTTTGGCGCGGAGCCACCGCACAGCGGAGGGGAGAGAATACTTGGCACAGCCCAAGTCCTTGCCCGAGAGTAGTCTCCAAGGGGCGACGGGCCCCTTACTCCGCAATCCCCGCGCTGGCAACTCTGCCCCAAAGACTGCGGAGCCACGTGCC